GCCTAAAATCCAGATCATCAATAAAATTATTAAAAGAATAAATATTTTTTCCTATTCCTTTACATATTGATTAAGATGGCCTTTGCTGACATATGAACAGTTTACCTTTTTTTTCTTTTCTGGATCTTTTCTTCTCTGATTGCATCATCTACGTCAGTTGTTTCTAAACTTGATGTCAATACTGCATTTGATAGTTTTCCCCTGGCTTTGTCAAAGTTGTCTTGAAAATAAAACAAAAGGATATGTAACACTATATCACTACATCAAATTAACATTTTAAAACTCAATTAATTAATTAAAAATTAAATTAAATGTACACTTAATAAAAGATTTACATAAATTTGATAATCATTAAAAAGTTGAAGCATATATTTAAAGAAACCATATAACTTACCAGATTCATAAAGCACTCTAACATTGAGGCACATGTAGTCTGCCCCTGGTATTGTGCAGCGCTTCACTGCAGCATGGATTTTATCCGAATTCCTCCACATTGGCCAATAAGCTTTTTTTTGTTCTCTGTCAGCCATGAACATGGGATGACATCTACTTCAAGGCCATCCGTGAACTCCACAACAGCATACATAGACCTATCATAAAATTTATTTACTTTATAATGATGATACATAAACATATGTTTATGCATATTTTCAAAATTATTTTGAGTTTGTTTAATTTCCATTTTGTGACCCTGTTTTAAAACATTGCGAATCTGCCATCATAATCTATTTACCAAATATTGCTGGTATAAGGGATTGCTAAAAATTTTCTGTTATGTGGAAACAACACACACTTTGATTGAATTTCTGTCAGTTTTGCAACACAGGTGTGAACTTCCAAATCATACACTATCTGAATTCCAAGTAAATTTGATGACACAGGGGTGTCAAAAAAGTCTTCTGTTTTCCTAAATGCACAATACACTATAAAAACATCAGCATCTTTTAATACTATATTCTTGACAAGAACTATTTTCCATTTACACGAACACAACAATCTTTAGCATTAAGTTTTATGCTGTAATTGCTAGTTTCCAGTGTTCTGTACTGAATGCCATTTGCAAGAACATCTGGCACTGGTCCTAATATATGCTCTTTTCTGAGAATTGGGTATTCCTTTTCTCTTTTGTTAGATGTATTCATATTTTTTCTGTTCAGAAAGTCTACGAATTATTTGCTGCAGAGCAAATGATGGTTTACAAACCATGCGTTTTAACTTTCCTAAGAAATTTTCAAATGGGAATGATGACACATTATCAAGACTACCATACTTTGCAGCGTCATTTGATAAATGGACCAGTCCATGAACATTATAAACCAACATGTCATTACCGTACATCTGACCAAAGTCGGAAACAAAGGCAACAAGAAGGTCATGAGCATATACATTGTATATATTGCATAAACTCTCATTCACCAATATAAGCATTGCAACAAAGAGGAGCAAAAAATTTTTGTATATGTTTTGATGAACAACGTTCAGGAGGACTAATGGGCCAGTATATAATAAAAATTGCCTAAACTCGGTTGCCTTCCAGCGGTCAAGAACATCTAAGGAACGGGGTTTGCGAGAAAATTCACAGGGAACATAATTTTTCAAAGACAGCATTGAATCAGATATTTGATTTAGATCTTGAGAGTTTAACCTATATCTTAGAGGACCCTTTTTCCACAAAAGCAGTGTACGCTTAACAACTCCAAGACAAACTAAATGCATGTAATCTTGGGGAAATTGAGAAACCATACCCATATTCAATTCTACTAGAGGTGATATGCCTTTGTGATGGTCCTCATCTTCGAATGCATTAAATGAAGCATCAGTTCTCAAAGGTGCATTAGTTTCAGGAAAAGTCATTTTTCCCAAATATACACCACATTGAGTACACTTATCACATCCTGAGTATCCAGAATGACCCTTGATACATTTAACAAAGGCTTTTACGGGTGCATCACAAATGACAGAGTCCAATATCACATTGAAATGTTTGCCATTAATGTCAAAACTGTTATCATTAAGTTCTTTGAATTCATCCACAAATTTTTGCAAATAATCATTTAAATTACTTGGTTTGCTTTGCCCAGAAAACAGACCAATAATAAAGGGTGTACTGTCACATAAGTTTTGTACTTTCCCAAATATTGGCCAAAATTGATCGCTTGTACTCTTGAAAAGTGGCAAACCATCAATATTTATTTGAAGCGAAAAGCAGAATCCATCATCCAATAAATACAAGTGTGGTTCAGCTTTCTGTGATAAACTAGACAAAATACCAAAGTGATAGTACTGTCCTCCTGCTAAATCTGACACATCATATGTTACTTGTGTATGCAACAGAGTTCTGGGATCCTTTGGTAATGTGGGAAAATACTGTCTCAAAAGAGTCAGCAAATACAACAATGCAATGTTTTTTTTAGGAAAGTTGTGGCCCACTCTCCTAGTTTTTGGGAAAAAGGTTTTTCCTCCGGTTCAATATCAGATTCACTATCATCAGAGGATTCACTAATTATGTTTTTTGAATGAAACATATGCTCAAGATTTTCTCTTCCTGATTCATCAACATCAAAATTTTCATTCGTTTGCTCTTGAGTTTCATCAGTAAGTTCAAATTCACTATTAAATGCACCAGCCATGTCAACCAGTTCATTACTACTCTGTACCACATTACTATCTCGAAAATGAGTGTGTGGTACCCCTGAATTATGTCTGTTGCTTAGCCTTTCTAAACTCACATTTTGATCTGAAACCTGTGATTCCTCATGAAGTACCGATTCATTTTGTAAATCAGAGAGATGATCGGATATCCTTGATAACACCCCCCTCCTTACTGTCCAGTAAGACTCAATTTTATCAGCCATTTTAATTGTTTAAAAACAGGGTTTTTAAAAAACCAACCAAACAAAAAAAACAAATATATTTTCCAGTTAATAGACAGGTCTATGTTTTGCAAATGTTTATAGAATCTAGTACTCTCGAATCTGAAAGAAAAAAAATGTTACCATCACTCCTGCATCTTTAACCCGAGCCAAAAAATATTACTTAAACCCGATGCATTTTTAATCATACTCTTCCTACTATTTTAAACTAATTAAAAGCAGAAGAAAACATACAATAAAAATGTTAAACTGTTAAATATTGTGTAGAACATTTGAAAATAGAAAATAAGGGGTCCCAAAAAGAATTGTTAAAAATATCTTGGATTGAAACCTTATACTTTACTTTTAGTAAAGGTATGTTATAATGGTTGTTTTTATAAAACTGTTTAATTAATATTTGCAGGCTATATATATATATATATATATATATATATATATATATATATATATATATATATATATATATATATATATATATATATATATATATATATATATAAATTAATTAAAAGTAATTTGAAAGTCTAAATTCCTATAACTTTTAAGCTTGTTCATCAAAAGAGGCCGCATGACACAGTTAATTTATTAGCATATATTAACCATTTCATTTTAAAAGTTTACATGAAAGCATGTGTAAAAATGCATACTTACATTGTGGTGATTTTCAGCTAGAAGCGGTACCAGGGTACCCAGGTAGAAGTAAGAAATGTGAACAAAATTAATATCAAAATCCAAGCAGTGAAAGCACATACGTCTTTGTCTACTGAACACGCGGCAGTGGTGGGAACTTGCTGACACAGTATCAAGTAGCAGGGAAATTGTGTAATAGAGCTCTGTTGACCAAAGTAACTGGCCAGGCCTGGCCAGTGTCCTGCTGAGAAGGAGAACCAAGGAATTAGTTTTGAAGTGACCTAAATGTATCTTGAAGACACGTTTCTAAACGTTTCTAAAATTAGAACAAAAATAACCGCAGCAAGGAATCCATTTTTGTGAGGATTGTCTTTCTAACAAAAATTTAGCCTGGGAATATAATTATATATAATTAAGTTCAAATTCAGAAATTGATTATTGTGTTGATTTAAATCATATTTCAAAATGTGTGTATATATATATATATATATATATATATATATCATATCATATCATATCATATCATATCACGTAATCAGAAATAATTATATATAATTAATACTTGATACGAAATATAAACGTGATAAAATTGAAGATATTGGTTTTGCATTAAACAAAACCCATTATATTCAATACATTATAATTAATCTGCACGTATCATAAAACATTTTGATTCCAATGTTGGCCCAATGTTGGTTTTGTCGTGGCTTGACTCGATCATTCCCTTCGTATAATTTGTATATACCCTTATTACTTCTGAGATTCGGATCCGACATATACATTCAAGGGTTTGATGCAGCAACAAGAAGAAAACATAATATAATGATATTACACACTACTAAAAATGTAATTTAATTAAACAGAATTAGAGTTTGTTTCCGCATTGGGCCGATGTCGGTCCAACGCTGCCTAATTAATTATTTTATAAAACGTACAACATGACATTAAGCCAACGTTGGCCCAACGTGGTCACAACGTACCGAGGCCAACCTTAGTATTAGCCCATTGTCTCAGTCAGTCATAACATCTGGCCAACATTGGCCCAACGTTGTTAAACCGATGCCAACCTTACAACCCACAGCCAATGTTGGCCCAACATAGTCATGTCATCTGGGATATGTCTAAATTTTATTCTGCATAATATAAAGATATTATATGCATAAATCCTTTCAGGGGCATTATCCAAAAAAAAAAAAAAAAAAAAACCTTAATTACGTAAATAAAACCTTGGTTAACAAACCTAATCTAATTGAAATTCGATGAGTCAGGGTAAGTATTATTCCAGATTTCACAGTTACTGTGTTAGAAATTTAATATCAAATCTCTTTAAAATGCAAAAAAAAATTATTATAACAGTGAGTTCAGACTACCGTCTCAAATATATATATATATAAACTTCACTTTCCTATTGCAGTATGTAATAGTAATTATTATTTAACACGGAATGTCGGGAGATTAATCCTTCTCTCCAAAGGAATATATATTGGAATGTCAAATATGGTTCCCTTAATTGTGTATATCTCAATGGGGAAAACACACAATGTTCTACAGGTAATATAATGTTATAAGAAAATTTGGCTGCATTGTGATTATTGTGAACTTCAATTTAAAGTTCCAACACTTCTCTGGCCTCAGTCAATGACAGGGTTATAAATTTAGCAGTCTTTCATATATGATGGCCTCTCAAGCTAAAATAAAATAGACTTCATGAACACAATGAGAAGTTAAAACATGTTAATACATGTGTTTCTGCTGGAAAAAACCAAATGGCCATCATGTACATTAAGTTAAATCCGAAAACATCACGTTCCTGTAAACAATGAAATTACCTTTTTCAGTCAACAATATGTGTCTTCATCGTCAGTTCTTTTTGACTGATGTGAATATAGTTGCTTACTTCTTCTCAACACGTTTTTAATTTTGCACTAATTGTTGAAAAAAAAATCTCCCATATGTCAAGTATTATGAGAATCTAATTTTTTTGTCAATGGAAAAAAAGATAGTGATATTTGCAGCTAGGCAGTCAAGAATGATACAGTCTCGAGAAGGATCACAAAATTTATTTCAGACGTCCATCCTCATAAAAGCAATTAGAGGTGTTTCTGGGGGGGGGGGGGGGGGGTTGAGAGACGAGACAAATGTGTCGCAATCTGTGCATTGAAAGTGAATGTGTACGCATCATATTCCTGTAATCAATTACACATTTTTCAATTTACTTAAAGATTATTTTTTTTACCTAAATGTACTTTTTTGCTTCAAATAATTTGGATAAAGTTTTTATTTTCTTTGAGATGTTGACAAAATTGATAAGTGCACTTTTATATTTATTCATGACAGAAAATGACCAAGTCTCAAATTAATTAAAACGTGTTTCAACGTACCAATCTTTGAATGATTTGATTGTAAATTTTTGTTCTTTATTTTATAAGTGGGCTATAGGGATTACTTTTTTAAAGAATGTAAGAAGTTTTAATAGTTTATATTCATTTTTTAAAGAAGAAGACCAAATCGAAGTCAAAGAAGGCTAGCAAAAGAGGAAAAGAAAGGAAAGTAAAATTCACAAACGGGAAAAAGGCAAGGAATACTACAGGACACAATGAAACTAGTGAAAATAAATTAAAACTAATATCTCTTTATGTTGAGAAGCTATTAGGATATTTATTATTTTCAGAAAGAAGATGCGAATTCTGAGGAAAATGAAGAGGACCAAGAAAATAAAGAAAATAATATGACATCCTCTGATGACGGGGTATGTAAAATGATAATTTGTAAATAAATATTATTTTATCAGAGGTAGCTGTTTTCAATTTTACAAAAGTATTATGCACTGCCTCATTAAAAAGTTGGTTAGATGTATCATTTTGTCTCTCGTTACTATTGTTACTTATTTTACCTGTCCAATTAAACTACTTTAAAAGGTTCACTCTAAAAGCAGTGCATGGGGCAAGGAGCATTCTGATGATGATAATGATGATGATGATACTGATGATGCTGAGAAGGAGAATAAAAGTGACGAAGAGGATTCTGATTTTGATTTTTCTACGATCAGTGAGGATGAGGTAAAAAACTGGAAAGCGTACAATGCAAAATTATTTTTCCAATGGAAATTATCAAAATAAGAATTAAACTAACAATTTTGAGTGGGAATATGGATCAAATTATCATTCCTCAACTAATTGTGTTGCTTGTGCGTGCACTATGTTACCATGTTAGTTTATCTGGATTACGAAGGAAAAATTAAATATTTTCAAAACTTTGCTTCTTTTTATCAATTATCAATAGCCATACAAAATACACTTTGAATTGTCAAACTTGGGCACGGGGTCTTCTTGTGTATTGATGAATATTACGGTGAATATACGTTTGTGAAAGTTCGCCTATGTCTGACAAGATTAAACAGGTCTGAAATTCGTAGATTTGGTAATTTTTAAAGATAAAAAAGTTTATAATTTTTTTTTATTTGAATAACGCATTCGTCTGAATCGCTTTTACAACATTTGAGTTATGGAATTCTATCGCAAATTAATGGGAATATGAATTTTAGATTTGTCCATCCCTCTTTTAAATACATAATAAAGTAAAGAAGTTATTCACTTAGAATTCCTGTTATTTAGTTTTTTTTAAAACAAAGAAATGTCCTCATATTGTGAAAACCAGCCGACATATGCTTCCGTTTGTGAATCTTTTTATTCTTATAAATTGCTTCCCTGCAGCACATTCAATGCAACTGATAGTGTTCAATTTATTGATATTACGTGTCTTTAAGCTTATTAACCATGCAGATAGGAAAAATAATAACCATGTAGATGGTAAAAAAAAAATAATTCATTAATATATCGATACTGTAAAGGTTGATAACATCTTATCAATGAGACATGTATAATTCTTAAATAAAAGGGGCAAATATTAGGATTTTTTTAGAAATCAACGCCATCGATTTTTTTATATCCACACTTACATAAAGATGAATTATACAGTTAGCATCGTGCATCCCTTTAGTTTTCCTGTAAATTAAATGCCAAATACGATCCAACGATATATTATTTGTGGGAAAAAAAGTCATTATACCGAATATAGAATTTTGAAATGCTTGTTTTAAAGGAGATTTCCAATCAATTCAACTCTGTTTCCACATAATTATAATCGATGAGAAAAAAAAATATAATTGTGGAGATCATATCGTTGTTCTCGCTGACAGTCATATTGAATATACATTGCAGGGTTCTCCATCATTTGAAATTTTACTCCGTTGCAGATTTTACGTGAACCACTAATATTCGCGTTTTTTCTTTAATCCTCTGAAGGGCAGAGGAAATTTTTGTCGATACAATCGATCTACTTAACATCTTTAAAAGTATATTTGCCGTGATTTTTGTCAGTTGATCGAATTCCCGAACTTAAATAAAGAAACTTTACGATAGTAAAATACTTTTAGGGTGTGCTTTTAAATTCTTCAACAATACATTTACATCAATTAATTTAAAATGATTATGGTACGATGTTTGACTCACAGTGCCAACATGATTCTAGAGACGTGGTTCTGAAGTATAAAGTCATATGTTTATGATAAATTTTTAATTTTTAAATAATATTTAAAGATACAACTAGCATGGTTACAACGGTTACATGGAAGTGTGAAAACAAATTGTCTTTGTTTCTTCATGCGTAAAGTCCAGCGAGGGTCTAAGAGATAATTAATTATGCAAGGTGAAGCAAGACAAAGTGTCCTAATTAAGAGATAATTAAGTGCTCTGCCTTAAAAATTGAAGGACGGTAGATTTGTTTGAATAAAGTTTCAGTCGGAGAGAATTTATGATCTGATTTTCTGATTATCACAGATCTTACTGTGTCGCAAAATTTTTACTGTGTCGCACGCATAAGCAGTGATAAAATTTGAATCGTTACTGTGTCGCGGAAAATTTTACTGTGTCGGGGCCGACACAATAAAACAACTCATGGAGAACCCTGTATATGTATACAAAATCTCTCCTGATATGGAAGGTTTGCAACCCCTTTCCAATTTTTTTTTTTCAAATTGTATATATGAACCAAAAAAATAATAATAATAATAATAATAATTTTTTTAAAAAAGAATAAATCAGGATTGGTATACTGACATGTTTACGTAGTGCATGCAACTTCGCTCCATCTTAATCAATTTTCCATCATCTCAAGTACATTTCTTTTTAAAAATTAAATTAAAATACGTTTATTTTATAGGAATCAAGCTGGATTAGCTCGGATGATGACGAAATTTTGAAATGCAGGGATGGGGTAATTATTTTTCAGTAACAATATGAAACTGAAAAAGAAACCCTCTTTATTTTCGTTTATATACATTAAGGCGATTACAAAAAAAATATTTCCTTTTAAAGTTTCTTTTACGAAGGTAGTGCATGATACATTTATGAATGTAATGAGAGAGAGAGAGAGAGAGAGAGAATAACAATATTGTAATGGTCGACTGCGATAGATATTTATATTTTTAAGGACATTCAAGATCATAAAAATCTCAAAGATAAGATCTATGAATGCGACACCTTTGCAGGCATTGATATCAAAGAGGCATACGAAGGAGGTGAGATTTATTTTAAATCTCTGTTGGAGGCATGTTAATGATTTTGTATGCTATTAATTACATTGAATACGGTTCGTTATCTCAATATTTCATTCAGGAATTATATTTCAAAATTCTTCTCAACAGCGAAAAATTAATTCAAAAAATATTTCATATTCATATATATATATATATATATATATATATATTGATTCTTTTAAGATCAAATAAAAGAAGGACAAAGAGTTGTTTTAAGTTCCGAATACGAACAAAGAAATAGGGACGACAAGGGGATTGGATTTGTTGGTACTATAATCAAGGTTGAAGAAGACACTGTTCGTGTTCTTTGGGACTCTGAGAAAATTCATAAAACCTACAATACTTCTGGTGATCTTCTTCTTCTAGATAATGCGCAAACAGGTAATACTTGCGCCACAAAACACATTCTATATCATACCACTGGATCGCGAAACTTTATTTCAGTCTTCTCTATAGATTGTTAATCTATAGGGCAAACCGGTTTATTTTGCAATGTCTATAGCTGAATATCCCGTTAAATGAAGAGATTTATCTATGTCTGCTATACTTCTTTCCAACTGCATTCATTCTCGAGCAATATCAGACTTGATAGAGAATGATAATATTTAGGCACTTTTTCATTTTTTTTTCTAAAATCTATTTCTTGTCTTTAGATATACCCAATTTCTATTTTTAAAAGAGATTTTGTCCTCGTGAGTTCTCAGAAGCAATAAATGATTTTACGCAATTTTTATATGAAATGTATGGGGATAACGAACAGAATTCAAACCCAAACGTCCACTTAACAATACAAATTTTGGAGCAGATCAAACACGGAGCTCTAAAACATCAGAGGTGGGATCAGGTGCCATGGAGGAGTGAGCATCCCCTGCCGACCGGTCACATCCACCGTGTGCTTCTTGCCATGATCTGGAAATAAGGGAAAAATCCATTGATAAATCAGTGTGTAAATAATGGCCTAACAATTAGTATGAGAAAAGTCAGTCAGCTTTTGACTTAATGATAAAGTCTATTTGCTTACAAGGTCATTGTTTCAATCGTAGAACTTACGAAATGACGACTTTATACAAGACTGCTGATATTCTTGTTTCTTCAACTTGTTTGTCAATGACTTACCTCGCTTTAGAAATTGTTCATACGTAGAGCATGCTCTTGTGTATCGAATCAACTGAGAGATATAAATCGCGTATGCACGTTATGAATGTATAAGTAAGGGAAGTTGACGATTGAAAAGTTAAAGTCATCACGTTTATCATAATTTAAGAGCCATTCTCTGTAATGACTTGAACCTTTATATAGGAGCTTTGGCAAGCATAGTCTCAGAATTTCTCCAAACTCTCTATGATAAAGATCTTTGATACCGAAACTCAAATCAGGCAAAAATTGGTTGCTATGTGTCATGGTTACCATAGAAACATGTCCTAAAGTGTGAAAAATGGCATTTTTCAACATGTTCAGAGCCCCACAGTTAACGTTTGCAGCAAAGCAAACAAGTGGCAATGACTGTTTCTGAAAGTTGAAGGTTTGATTTCTCAAATGCATGATAAACATGTTTGGTAAATCAACTATTACATGCGTTACTATGGAAACAAGGTATTCAAAAGTAATAATTTTGTTCATTTAATTTTATAAAGTCATACACTTAAGAATAAAAACAATTATAGGTTGAAATACAAGCAAATAATAGACAAAAGGTCCCTGTAACATATACCAAGGACGAAATATGATATGTCTTATAGGTTGACAATGGTTGCCATGCGCAGCACAGTTAAGGCTGCAATAAGGAAGCGGGGCCTAATTTTTACGGGAAATGCTTACTATGACATCACACAAAAATATATGTTCTTCAAATTACCACAAAATGAAATGATTTGCTATTTTAAACTGTTGGATAGCTTTAAACTACATCAATACTTATTATTGCATGTATTTTTGTCGTTGGTTAAATCCCACACAGCAATATATAAACAATTCACCGATCGCTATGCACTTGTCAATGTGACGTCATATCGCAACATTTGACGCAGTTTGTATGCAGTGAGAGGCGGATCAAGATATATTTCATACAATGAAAAATGTATTTTGTAATTAAATAAAATGTATTAGCAGATATATAAGAGGCCATTAACTTGGATGCGATGTCTATTTTATGATTTTATTCATATACTTCCCGTATATTTCCTAGACAAGCGATACTGCCGTATATTTGTATGCAGATTCATTGAAGGGTAATAGAATGGTCGTAAGAAATCGATATATTGCAAGGGCATACCCTAAATGAATTATGAGAAGCTTTTACACATAAACTCAAGAGGTATGAAGATATTTGAAAAGTGCTGCGAACATGATGAAATCTTGCAAATGAGTTAATTATATCTATATTTAATGTACTTGACCAGCAAAATATTCAACATACGGTCTAACAAACGTAATTTTAGCAATTATGTAGTAGAATCTATATAGGTTCGCAGCACTTTTCACAAACTACAAAGAGTGTTGAAAATAATTATAAATTAAACTGAGATTTTTAACGTGGTTATGCTCTTGCAATATTGGAATTTATAGATGACCTCAATACTGCAAGTAAATTTCTAAAATCACGTAACTGCCATATTACGTCACAAGTCTAGGTAAGAAATCTAATCGTCCCCAACATGTAGTTTTTAACCACAGTACATTTTTTCGATAATAGTAAAGTCCTTAAAAGAATCGCCCATCCTTGTAAAGAACGTATTTTGATATAAAAATTCGCCGATATTTCCATTAGTCACCTTTACTGTACTGCGTGGTTTTACTACCACAAAGGGATTTTAAATTTACTCTCTTAGTGTTTTAATCTTATTCTATCTTTTAAAAAAGCATATTTCTATATAACTGATGATCAATTTTTAAAGGCGTTGGTGTGACCCTTAATTTCACATTTCAAAAAATTCAAATTGAATTCTTTAAATAGAGCGTTGCTGTGAAAATAAGCCGAAAAATATGCATAAAAATCTTATAAATTTATAAATATTCTGTTTCCTTGGATACGCACCCTTGTATGTAGATTCCCAAAACTTTTATAATTGATATTTATGAACAGCCAAACCGATATTCAATTTTGACTACCACCCAATCTCTAACTGGATGAAAAAAGCTGGCAAATAAGCTTTGATATTGATATAAAATGTACAAAATCGAATAGTTTCCATTCTTGGTAACAATAGCAACAGTGTTGTATTTTTCAACAAACTTTATCAATATATGATATTAAACTTTAGTTCTATCAGATAAGTACTATTCAAGGTGAGTCAAATAATATGTTTCTTGATTAAAAGATAAGTAAATTCCTAAGACAGCAAAAAATATCACTTTAAACAAATGGTACGTTGTTTCCATGGTTACACTGCAAAGTAACAATTAATCCCAATTGTCCTTATGTTGTCGGTGTTTCAAGGTCCTAAGGATGTATATGTGCCAGTCATGAATTTTTTGTTTTTCCTCAAGATAGTAGCATTAACCCAATCTTAGCAACAGATTTTGCATGGTTACACTTTGTTACCATGGCAAGCATGAAAGTTATTTTTAGAATAATATTGCCAATACCTAATTACCTAATTACTTAAGGTCAAATATTTTTATTGTTTTTCTTAAGTTGTTGATTGAGTTTGATCAAAAAACACCTATCATTAGTGAATATTGAACGTTTTTTCAGCATTTTTTAGCATCTAAAATGTATTCCAAATGCACCCATGGTTACCACTTACTTAGAGATAAATTCTAAATAGTTTCTTTATAGCATAATTGGCCGAATGTCTCAATTTTTTTCAACTTTTCTGTCTGTTACCATGGCAACCAAGACACATAGCAACAAAATTTTATTTGACATATGTTTCTGGTATCAAGTTGTTATAATGGGCAAAGTTTAATCAAATTTGGTGACTATGCGTGGCAAAGAAGATCAGATAATTTTATTTTCTTACAACAGAAAAAAACCGCGGTTTCAGAAAACGCGTGGACTTAATGACGTTTCTTCTCTGTTACTTTATTGCCGCAACTGGCCCCTTTTTCCCAGTCGCGGTCACATATATCTGATAGAAAAGGAGAGATATGTTTACCTAAGTGGGATAGACGTGTCAGCCTTCGTTTCTAGTACACACAGGAAGTGAATAAAAAATGTTCAAATTTTTGCCTTTTTTGTTTTTCAAAATTTTACCTAATTTAAATACAATTAATTTAATACTTTAAATATAAAAGAAAAAGATTTACTTGACTATCATGTTTATACAATGTTTAACCTTCATTGGTAGGGGCAATACACAACGGCTACAAATGCAGCGAATGTAAAGAGAATCCAATACGTGGTATGAAATGGAGCTGTTGCCTTTGTAAGGATATTCATTTGTGCACGCAGTGCTACATGCGTGGTGAACATATTCTTTGTCACGAATTTGAGAGAAAACTTTACCAAAAATCAAGAAGGTATGAACAATTAAGAGCAATCTTTACAAAATTCACTTTTAAAAAGCTGTAAAAAATCAAAATAAACTTTTCATTTTAGTATCAAGGTAGGTCATCGTTCTGATTTCTTCGAGACAAAAAAATTCAAATACATGAAAGGGATATTTCCTGGCGCCAAAGTAACATTACGCAGTGACAGAAAGGCAACAGGTACATTTGTCTACAGACTAATTTTAACTTAAAGGAGGAAAATAGAAAAATATAAGAATTTACTATTTATATTTGAATATTTTAGAAAATTTTTAAGCTGTGAAGCTATCATTCTAAAATGAAGATATTCCAAGTACGAATTCACCTTTAGAAGTAACCCTACGGGATAGAAAAAGAATTTTCGTAGAAATATATATACTGTATTAGAAAATACAAAAAACTGCTTTGCACAATTTGTGTGTGACATGTTTATCTATTTCATGATCAGTTTATTTTATGTGACTTTGCTCTAAGACAGGAGAGGTTTTTTTTTTATTACACTAACTTTGAAAACACATACAACGAATTGTGATAAGAATCAAAAGAGATATTTTGGGCAAAAAAACGCGTATAGTAATTTGATACTTGTTTTTATCTCCTTTTTAATGACAATTTATCTATGATCATTTGAATATTGGTAATAGTAAAGAAGATACATATGTATGTTGCCTTAAATTTTAGACATTTTCATGATTCCTTATCTTATATAGGCAAAGTAAAACAGTTAATAGACAAAAATATAAGAATGTTCAACTGTGACGCCTTCGTTAAGCGAGATGACAATTACAAGAATGAAGCGAGATACAGAGTAGGAAGGAAAGGACAAGTGGATCTAAAGTTCCAAACTCCCGGAAAAGGATTGGCTTATTATGAGGATCATTTGCATATTATTACAAGAGGTATAACGGATATATTATTTTCTTAAATTCATAACATATCACAAAACCGATGTTTTTCGGGCCTTTTTTTTTTTTTAAAAAAGGTTAAGGAAAAATCATTTTAAACTATACCTTACTTTTTTTCAGCTGTAAGGGTGACGGATATGTTAAATACGTTTTTGTCATTATAGAGTGTACATTGCTCTCAGTAATACTTCAATGTCATGCATAGAAATGCTTTGTTTGTAAGTGAATGGATTTTTTTATGCTGGACTTCTTCAAGATCACCTCTCTTAATACAATGACATTAGTCCTATGATTTTAAGAGGAAAGTGGGCTTTATTTTGTTCGTTGAAGGTTGACACTTTCTTTAATGTAAATATCAAGAAAAAAAAGTAGGATAATTTCGATTCTTACTTTATAACGATCTTTGAGCAGAAAATGATAAAAAAAAAATGTATGTGAAAAATCATATTACATGTAAGTTAAAACTTGGGGTTGTTTGATCGAAAATCTTGAGTACAAGATAGAATCATAACATTTTTAAATTTTATTTCACCATTGCATAGTGTTGGTTCAAAGAAAAGGAAAGTTTTTGTCTTTGCATATATACTTTTTGATGAAATCTCTAGATCTCAAGTTTTTTTTTTTAAATTAAACCCGAAATATGGGATCGCAAGAGAAACAAAAAACAAAAAAAGATAGGGAAAGGTTCACAACGGGACACAGAATAACACAAAATTACAAAATTAGATATGAAGAATCTACTAGCATGAATGTTATGGGCGATATAGACATCCATTTTTGTCATTTTTTTTTTAATTTCATTTTAATATATGTTTGGTATTTATGGTCTTCATTATCCCTTGCAAAATTTACTAGGTTTCAACTAAGCTATGGATCCTGTTTAAATACTAGTCACATTTATTATTAAGTCAGACAGTAAACCAGCTTTTCTCAAAAAGAAAAGAACGCGGCTAAGATAAGGCTGTCCGTAAAATATCAAACTGTTCCAACTGTAGTAACTTCTCTGAACTACCTTGTTATGACATCATAATAGCATATGACGTCAAGTCACTAGATATCTGAGCTGACATGGCCTGGAAAGTGTCATAACTTTTAAATTCCTTTCACAGGATACGTAGAATTTTTTTTTTAGCATTGTTGTTTAGTTGAAATGTATGCATTGGTTTTTTTTCCTTTTTCTTTTTTAGCTCCAATGTGCTTTTATAATGTTGAACATTTGCAATTTAATATTGTTATTCCTTTCGCTTGTCCGATATGCACATATCCACATATTCAAACAATAACAAAAAATTGAACGTGAAACGTTCCCCCCATACACGTCTGTAGACAGAGTTAGACTTTATGAATCGTGTATATATTTGACTGGCCAAAGGATTTATAAGGATAAATTGGATATATTGTGTGTGAATCTACAAGGGAAATATGTCTTCAAACTGAATTTTGCTTGGGGATTGTGTGTAATTTATCCTATTTTGTATATATTGCAATAAAGAGTGAGAAATACCCCCTTGTGTGTGGGTAAGTTAAATTTTTCGTGAAATATTTTCTTAAGAAGTAAAATTCAGACTTGCCCCAGCACTTTATATGTACCAATGATAACGATAAATTGACTTATGTAACTTTTCACAAAATTTTTGTTTTGCGCGTGTGCTAATGCGATTTTTTCAGCAACATTTAGGAATTCATAAGTGTCCATCACGTGATCAACAAAGTCATGTTACATCACAAAAATACTTTATCAAAATACCTGAATAAACTCTCATCACAAATTGGCTCAAAATTAATACATATACTACATATTGAAATTAAAATCTAGCTCAAAATAAAATGTATATTTTTTAATGCATATTAAGCCTTCAGACAGCCTTAACATAGCTGCAAAAATAAAACTATTGTATCATGATAATCAGCTGACTCAAAGATATGTATAAGGGTACATGATTTAAAATTATATTTCTAGACGATGCAAAACCAGGAATGAGAGTTGTAGCAAGAAACAAAACATCCAAGCTGGAGCAAGTTGTTGGGACAATTATTATCGGAAAGGCAAGGGAATTTCTTTTCAATCTGCAGCATGTATTGATTTAAGGAATCACTGTCTAGTTCATACGTGAAATAACAATGTAAACATAATTTTAAAGAAAAGATATAATGAATTTAAAATACACGAGGCATTCCATATTAATTTTCATAGTCCCCTCCCACTGACGTCAGATACAGACAGCCATGAGAGACTGACATGCATGACCTTTCACATGACGAAATTTACATTCTGTTGTACATGTAGTTATTAAGAAATCAACTTACTTAACTTTGAAAGAGTTATCACAGAGAAAACTTTTTGAAATATAAATATTATGTTTAGGGTTTAATTTTTTCCCAATATTTTTATTTAATTAAATATACATGTATAGACACATTCAAATATAAAAAACTTGAAAATGATACATTAACAATTGGCAAACATTACATAGTAATAAACAATAGTTATAATAACCTTTTGTTTTAAAATGCAGTTCATTAAGTAAACTTTGGGATGGAAGAAATATGATTTGATTTATTCCAAAACTTATAGAAATTTGTTCTTACTTGTTAGGCTTATGAATGGATTATTTATAAACGGTTTTCAATCACAAGATGAAACACTTCTTTTAAGTTTGGCTTAATGTTGGCTTATTGGTCCTTAATGATGGTTTAATGGTTGTCTTTAAGTCACCATTAAGCACCTATAAGCTACCTTTAAGTAATAAATACACCACCATTAAGTTACCATTAAGCCATCTCAAAGTCCTTAATGGATGCTTAAAGGTACCTTAATGGTGGCTTAATGGTGGCTTATAAGTGCTTAATGGTAGCTTCTAGACAACCAGTAAGTTACCATTAAGCCACCATTAAGCCAGACTTATAGGTGCTTAATGTCCAAACTCCATTAAGCTACCATTAAACCACCTTTAAGCCACCATTAAGTCACCATTAAGTCACCATTAAGCTGTCGATAAAACTGCTTTTATGGGTTAAATATTATTTTTATAATGATTTCTTCACAAAAATTATACATGTCGAGTTTATGCATTTGTTAATTCGGCGAAAATAATGTAAAAGCAAGAAAATTAAAAAAGAAATAAATGAAAAAAACGCATTCCCAACAAGATTCGATTCCATGACCTTTACATTGGAGGGCGAACGCTTTAACCACTGAGCTATCGAGGCTGTTGAAAATAGAGTGAAATATAAAACCTTTATTTTTAACAAACTTGTTTGGAATGGTTATAGGTACCTGTACATGTATTTTTTTTTCTGATGTTTATATTTATTAATCAATACTGCGAATAATTATATCGATATATATTTTAAAAAAGAAATTTTGATAAAGTTTTATATTACGTTAATATTTCTTAACCGTGGACCGGAGTTCGGTGTGATGGTGTGAAACAACTTTTTGATTTTAAGTAACTAAATTCCTCGTTCTGTTATTCGCAGATTTATAAGCATGAAAAGATTGAAATTCAACAGATATAACAAAATTTTGTTATTAAAAAGGAATATATCATCGAAAGAGAACGATGGGAAAAAACAGGTTATAGTTCTTATAAATATGCTGCAGATATTTACGATTTTAAAACAAGTATTCAAACAAACTGATTTTAGGTAGCGAAAATTTTAAGGCATTTGATTAAGCTGTTCTCAGTTCCCGAGTCTATACGCATTGACAAAAATGTTAGAAATAGCGAGAAAAAAATTATGAATTGAATAAGTATTTGAGTAAATGATATTGAAACAACTTCAAACTTAACAAGTTAGTTTAAAGACTTGAAACTGGACGTGTTAAGGTGGTTTAAATAAGTTTGGACATTAAGCCACCATTAAGCCGCAGCTTAAAGGTGGCTTAATGGTAGCTTAATGAAGCTTGGACATTAAGCACCTAGAAGCTGCAGCTTAATGGTGGCTTAATGGTGGCTTAAAGGAATTAAATGCATTAAGCCACCATTAAGCGGTTGCTTAAAGTTGGTCCTTCGTCCTGTGAATACAAAATGGAAAAAAAAAATAAGAAGGAAACGCCGTTCAACTTCTTGCAGCGGTGTTGGACGTCATAATAGCGATCCGTCTTTATACCCCTTGCAAAAGGGATAAACATAAAGCAAATTCAAATGAGAAAGAAAAACTACAATTACCCTTCATTTAGTTCATTTGGGTCAGTTTCATTTAGATTTGTTTTTGCTTGAGCACTAATAGTAAACCTACCCATTCCCCCTAACCTTGGTCTCTTTCGGTCTTTGAAGAACATTGAATATACAAATATTTTCTTTTTCTAAATCTCGTTTTTATTCATCTATTTACAATCTACCTGTCTATTAAAACTATGAAAGTACTTTTTATATTATATATAACAGAGCCCC